CCCACCCACCGACCGGCGCACCCCATTTCTTCACACCATGGCGCCCACCTCCCCGACCCCTCCAATCAGAACTGCCACCTGGCGGTTTCCTGGATGCCCGCCCTGGAGGCCATCTGCGAGGGGCTCACACCGGAGACGACGAATCCAGGTCTGCCGCACGGACGGTCACGCTGTGTGGCTTCGAGGCTGGCTGCTCCGCGCTGATATGTTGGCGGGCAGCTTGTAGGGTCGCCGATGCCTGCAGCCACATTCATCCTGCTGGGACCTCTGCTGCAGCACTGACAACATGCAGTCCCAAAAGGACATTCATACTGCTCCCCTTTTGTTTTCGCATAACTCCCAGGGTTCCGCCTGTGGCTGACCAGCTACCCCAGCCCGGCCTTCCCGGCATCTGTCCTGCAGGCAAGACACGTCACCCGTGCTTGACACTTCCTTGTTTCATATGCACCTTGCCGCATGGGCCCGACGCGCCCCGCCGCCCAGCAAGCATCGCCGGCCTCCCTCCGCGGCGCCAGCGCCCTGCACCGCGGCCCGCCCCGCCGCTTAGCTTGCACACCGCCCTCGCGGCTGAAGCGGCGAGCCGAGCCCCTGCGAGACCCATGTAGGCCGGCTAACAGGCGCACAACAAAACAACCTGATCCACACAACGATGGGCATCACCACCCACCAAAATATCCAACCCGCGCAGGGCGGCGTGAAGATCACCAACGACCCCCCGAAGGGCCTCAGGGCAAACCTTCTAGGCAGCTACCTCTCCGACCCCGTGTCCGACCCCGCCTTTTTCGACGGCTGCGCGCGGCCGGGGGAGTTCAAGAAGCTGCTCTTTGGGCTCTGCTTCTTCCACGCGTTCGTGCAGGTGGGTTGGCCATATGCTGTGTCAGCGGCGCGCTTTGTTGTGGGGGACGCGCACCTCACGCTCAGGGGTGGCTTTGCCTGCGTGATCTGTACTGCACAACTCCTTGGCGACTGCAGTGGTGATTCGTGGACCGCGTCAGACGAATCGTCCTGCACATCTGTTTCTTACAACCAAGGATTTCTCAAAGCCGGCCAAAGCCCTGGTTTCCCAGGTGTTCGTATCTCCTGAGTGAGCAGAACCAACCAATTCCACAGGAGCGCCTCAAGTTCGGCCCCTTGGGCTGGAACGTGCCGTACCAGTTCTCCGCCCCGGACTTTGCCATATCGGCGCGCCAGCTGCTGATGATGGTCAACGAGGCCCCGCCAGACGCGCTGCCCCTAACGGTGAGCACGAGGGACGAGGGTCAGGGTTGTGGAGTTTGGGTGTGCCCCTGACGGTGAGCGTGAGGCGCTTGCCGCATTGCCGCTCACGCTTGTTGAAACAGAGGCCCAGCATCGGAACAACACAATTCCACCGCCACAATCGTGTCTTACAGGCCCTAAGATACCTGACCGGCGAGTGCAACTACGGCGGCCGCGTCACAGACGAGCACGATAGGCGGTCGCTGGCGGCGGCGCTGGGGCTCTTCTACTGCCGGGACGCACTCGAGGAGGGGTACAGGTGCGTACAGGGTTCTCTGATATCATACGGTGATGACCTTATGCTGATGACATCATGATGTTGCCACACTCTTTGATGGGCGTGATTGCATAAACCCATTATCAGTTGTCCCCTGAACATGCCAGGCGAGTGGTGGAGGCTTCGAACCGTTGGAGCTGCCAACGCTGATTTTGCAACCTCCGCGTTGCCTCACCCTGCCCACAAAACCACAGGTTCAGCGGCTCCCCACTGTACTTTGCGCCGCCAGAGGGGCCACACGAGTCGTACACAGCCCTCATCAAGGCGCTGCCCTCCGCCGCGCCGCCAGAGGTCTTTGGGCTGCACGCCAACGCTGGTGGGCGCGGCTGGGGTTGTGTGCCCCTTAAATTTGGTCAAACGCGCAGCTAGTTGGGGGGCAAGTCGCGAGCAACAGAGTGGGGTGTGACTCTTCGTCGTTTGCTCACATATGTAAGTCAAGTATATCGATAGAACGCAATCAAATCTGCAATTCACGGAGGCGCAGGATCATGCGTCACCCCGCTCACATGCGACCCAAAACAACACACTAACCACCACTGGCCCCCCCTACCTCCCACCACCCATCCACACCTCCCTGTCACCTTCCACACACTAACACACACACACACACACTCACTTGAAAACACACACACAAACACACACACATCACACTCAAAAACTCTCACACACGCACATAATCACACCAGACATCACCCGTGACCGCCAGGAGGTGCAGCAGCTGCTGGATAGCCTCCTCGCAACACAGGGCAGCGGCGGCGGCGGCGGCAGCAGCAGCAGCACCGCAGCGCCCGCCACCTCGAACAGCGGCAGCGGTAGCGGCGGCCCGACGGCGGCCGCCCTCAGCAGGGGCAGGGACGAGGTGCTGTCGGACCTGGTCGCTGACGTGTCGCGGCGGTTGGCGCGGCCCTTTGACATCGAGGCGGCGCGATACAAGTGAGGAGGGGGGGTGCGGCTGCGAATGCTTGGGGGTTTCACGCCGTGAGCAGCGTGTGGAGATGGGGTAGTTTGTGGGAGTGTGTGTCAAGGATTTGTTCAGCCCTGTAGTGGTTGTGCGGGGGCTGGTGGTTGGCCAGTCCTCAATGGCTCAACATCACTCTGCTTCACTCAGGTGCTTCACTACTGGCGCCTGCCTGCCGTCTTCGTGGCACCCAGTCACGCTGACAGGCATGCCCTCACAAACAAACCTGCAAGTTGCCTACACACACACACACACACACACACACACACACACACACACACATACACACACACACACACAAACACGTGAATGAACACACACATGTCCAACCCCATCAATCACCCAGGTATCCTGTTGATTATTACGAGTCCATGAACAGTGTGCTGTGCCAGGAGCTGGTGCGGTTCAACAGGCTGCTGGAGGTGAGGGGGGACGGTTGGTTGAATAGAATGCATGGAGAGAAGAAAAGTTATTGATGATAGGGGCAGACCCATGACGTCTGGCGTGCTGGCATGGTCGACAAAAAAGCCGCCCCACTTGAGTGTGAAAGGCAATGGCAGGCTGCGTCGGCGTTGCCGGCGGGAATTGCACATACAGCCCACACGCAGCAGCAGCAGCAGCAGCAGCAGCAGGGGCAGCAGCGGCAGCTGCAGCAGCTGCAGGAGCGTGCATGCATGGGGGCCAATTCCGGCAAAACCTCCCATGCGTACAGGCCAGACTCTCGGTGCTGTTGCCTGCGCCGGCCGACTCAGTCCCATGCACCACCCAGTGTGCGCACCTCTCCCAACCCACCACGTGCCCTCGCCCCCCTCGCTGCTGCGCCGCTCATATTCCACCCCCCCTTGGCCCCAGGTCATCCACTCCAGCCTGGCTCAGCTGGCCGCCGCCCTGAGGGGCGAGGCCCTCCTGAGTGAGGAGCTGGACAGGGTGGGGGCGGCCATGTTCGACGGAAAGGTGGGTTTTGCGGGAGAGTGTTTTGGCGCGTTTTGCACTGGGCCGTGGTCGGAGGGGAGGTCAGTGAGCTGGTGCGGTTTGAAAGAGTGCCTGCCAGCCTGTGCATGTGGGCTTGCGATTCCCTTGCCAACCAATGCGGGCCGTCAGCACAGCCTGCCCCCTCCTCCCTGGGCCCCCCGCCCCCTCCCAATCTTCCCGGCCTCACAACACTTAAAAACACAAAATCAGCAAAACACAACAATACAACGTGCACCTTCTGCTGGCATCTAAGAAGGCACCTCTCCACCTTCACCTGCCGCCAGCACCTTGGCACACCTGAAAACAAACCCGCGCCTATGCCACAACCCCCAAAACCCATGCCCCTGCCCCCCAAAAAACTCATACCCCCCTCCCCAGGTCCCTGCCCTGTGGATGGCGGCCTCCTACCCCTCCCTCAAGCCCCTGGGGCCGTACGTGTCAGACCTCTGCGAGCGCGTCACGATGATGTCAGACTGGCTGGCACATCGGCCGCCCCCGGTGTTCTGGCTGGGAGGCTTCTTCTTCACGCACGCATTCCTCACGGGTGCGAAGGCGGTTCGTGGCCCGCCTGCGTGTGCATGCGTCTTTCGGGCGGTTGATAAAATGTTTGTCCAATCGTTGGGGCGCGGCGCAGGGCCGGATCAACTTCTGTTTTAAGTGCAATTTCAGGTCACCTGGCCCGGCCTGCAGGCGCAGTACGTTGCTGCTGACACTTGCCACCATCATCTGCTTTGTTGTCGCACACGCCACGTCCTCCCCTCGGTACTGCTCTTGTCGCTCCTGATGCATCAGCCGGCCCCAGCTGTTCTAAAGTGGCCACGCAACCCCATCTAATGCAAACACGCGGCCGTGGAATCATCTTTCGTGCACGCACAGGCGTCAAGCAGAACTTTGCGCGCCGCCACAAGGTTCCGATAGACACGGTTGAGTGGGAGTTTGTGTGCGGCAGCGGCAGCGGCGACAGCGGCGGCGGCGGGGATGGCGGCGGGGAGGGCGGTGCAGCGGTCGTGGAGGCGCCGGCGGATGGGGCGTTTGTGAGGGGGCTGTTCTTGGAAGGGGCGCGGTGGGACGGCGCTGCGGGCTGCCTGGAGGAGAGCGAGCCCAAGGTGAGCCAATTCATGGGGGGAAGGGCCAGGGAGACCATTTGCGGCATTTGTAGGGGAGGGAAGAGTGCAGGATTCCGACGGGGCAGTGCAGCAGGGGGGGTTGGGCCGGTGACGAGGGGCTCAGGGG